CATCCCCCTTCGTCCACCCCACTCTAACAAGCCACCTAGGCACGACGGCTGGATCGACTCAGTCCCCTGCCCCACACTGCGCGACAACCTCATCCTCGCCTCCGCCTCCTCGCCCCCAACACTCAACCAGGACGAAATGTGCGACGACATCTGCGGCGGGCTGTACGACGGCTTCGACCACGTCGAGTCGCGCGGCCTGCTGGTCTGGGGCGATCCGTGGCTGGTCCGCAGCTGGGAGATCTCTCCCGGGTTCGCGAAGAAGTGGGCGTTCCTTCTCGCGGGGTGTGGGGAGATGGTGAGCGCGACGAACACGTGGCGGGAGAGTAGAGGGGAGGAGCCGCTTGTTGTGGAAGTCTGAGTTGGAGCTGGGGTGTAGCGGTGTCGTATTACGATACTTGATGCAGTGGAGGCCGTGATGTCAGCGCTGGATGTTAACATTTGTCCATGTCTAGTTTTGCATGTCTCAAGGCAAATAACGCACCCGGATTCCTAGCCTCGTTGCTCTGTAAAGCGGTGGCCCTGTATCCCAGTCTAGCTCCTTTAGATCTTCCAGTTGGCACATTGAAGGGCCCCACAGAGCATTGATGTACTAAGGCGTCTGAGGAGGAGATCCGATTCAATTTCATAGGGTACAGAAGAGGCCTGCAATGAAGAGACATCTGCGCTGGTTCACAATTGTGACACTTTTCTCATTGGCCTTGTTTCTCTGGTGCCGTCGGTATGTATGTCTAAGACCACAAATTTGGGATTTTGTTGGCAACTGTGGGTGCTTAGGGGAGGGGTAGTATAGATAATCCGCTGGTGATGAAGAGAGCTATAACATGTTGCAATGATGCGTAGGGACGGATTGTGGTGCGTGGTGTGGACGTCGATAGTGAAAGAACCAATGGAACACGGTAGCCATGGGTAGAAAAACGAGACGACAAGTCTAAGCGCCGGTTTTATGATTACATCAAGGTCCAAAAGAAAGGCAGGGCAAACAACGTTCCTGGAAAGACCCTGGTTGACGAAACGGTATGAGCGGTAGGTGAGTGCACAAGTGATGAAGGACCCTAGGCAGGTGGACTACGATTGGGGCCTAGCGCGTAGCTGGCCTACAATGCTCCAGCAAGCATGATGGAAGGTGCCGCCCGAGGGCAACGATGAAGTTACAGTGTATTATTACAATCTTAATACGGTATTACAGAGCCGACAGTGCTGTTACGCAACAAACATGGAACTACAGCAGTTGTACAACAATAAGAGGACTATAAAATCTTGGAATGCTTCATTCGTAAGAGCAAGTCTAGCAGTGGCATCTTGACCGTGGCAAATCAACCGTGCAGAAACAGAGGAATAGAACGATAAAACAGCAACTTATTGCGCGAAAAAGAGAGTAGATGTCAGCACCTAAGCGTTAGCGTCGACTGCTCCTGGTGTTGTTGCGGCTGGGCCGGTCGTCGCGTCTGTCACTGCGGTCATAGCCCATCTCTTCGTCCGCAATCCTGTCACGGCGAGCTGAATGTGCTCGGGCTGGCTGTCGAACTGCATCGCGGTCGTCGCGGCCGTCTCTGATGACGCCGGTGCGTTCGTACTCGTCATCAGAGAAGTCCTCATAGACAGTAGCGGGTCTTGGGTGTCGTTTCTGTCTTCTGTCGTCATCTACGAGTTCCTGGGGCTTGTACTTCTTGTCGAGATGCTCCTCCAGGAGGCGTACGTTCTTGGAGTTGGCGCGGAAGGCTGCGTCGATAAGATCGCCGACAAAGGGAATAAGGCCAACGAAAAAGTCCATGAGTATGTTGAGTAACATCATCAAAAAAGTACCACGCGGCAAGCCACCGTCGACTTTGCTCATGTTCTTGACGAGATTCCCTGCAAGGGCGAAGTCCGCAGCGTCGCCAGCGACGGGGACAAAGCCAATGACGGAAGACCAGCCAAAGCGGACGCCGAGGAAGTTGAAGAGACAGCAGTCGAGCCTGTAGGCCGATTTCCGGGCTTTGGCAAGGATGTTGGCATCGTGCTCGGGGATCCAGGCAGGGATCTGCTTCTTGACCTTCTTCTTCTTGCCGGGCTTCCTGGGGTGGTCTATGTACTCATAGAAAGGATCCTAATGCGGTTAGCTTGGCGATCCGGAGGCAGGTGTAGTCACGGCAGGAAGAATGCGTGGGTTGATGCTGGCGGCGACTTACATATTCATCGGCTGGGGCCTTGTCCTTGTACTTTTCCATACTGCTGTTCAGCATCTTGCGGGCGGCATACTTTGCGATGACTTGCGTCATGATTGCGGTGTTGTCGTCCTTTGGGGATGCGACCGAGGGAGCAGTGTTTGGAGAGGGCTGGGACGGGTAGCACACGCAATGCAGGATTGCTTGACTTTAAGACAAGCAACAGGCCAAGAGATGCGTGGTGGGCTGGCTGCGCGGCTGTCTGGAGGGCTCGGGCAGATGCGGTTGGCAGGCGGCTCTCGTCGTCTGGGCTGCTGAAACGGGCGTCGCTGCCAGCTGTGTATAGCTGTGGATAGCAGGCGCGGACAGGCAGCGGATTGCGGTTCTGGCAAAGTGGAGTAGAATCAACGAGGGGCACGAAGAGAAGGGCAGCTAATAAGGCGCTGCTGGCGGTGTGCTGGCGTAGGGCGACTGCATGGGCTCGTCCCTGATCTCGTCCTCGTCCCAGACGCGAAGACGTCACTGGGGCGTTTCGAGGCCCGCACCGCCACAGCGCTGCGCCACAGCGCCACACAGCCGGTCGCGCTGCCCGACGTGCATGGCCGCATGCCGCACTCGAGGCCAGCGTCGGGCTCACCACCAACATCACACGCTTTCACGTGCCCATTTCTCGCACATTCTTTGCGCGGCGTCTCTCGAACACACCGGTGCTCGGATAGCATAGATCCAGACGCGCGCGCTCGCTGCCGTCCCTCACCCCGCCGTGTTTGGGCCTCCCAGAGCTCCGCAGAGCTCCCCTCTCCCGTCGGCCCTCGCTGCACCCAGGCATGCTGCGCGACACCGGCCAAGCAACCCACCATGACATCCCCGAATCAGAGCCTGCTTGACTGGCTCGACGACCTGTGCGTGCGCTTCATCGTCAACCTGCCGCACGAGGAGCTGCAGTCGGTCGAGCGCATCTGCTTCCAGATCGAGGAGGCGCAATGGTTCTACGAAGACTTCATCCGCCCGCTGGACCCGCGCCTGCCCTCGATGAACCTGCGCATGTTCTCGCAGCGCATGTTCCAGCACTGCCCGCTGTTCCAGGGCTTCTCCGAGGACCACTTCCTCGAGGCCTTCCAGCACTTCCTGCAGTACAAGACGCGCGTGCCCGTGCGCGGCGCCATCATGCTCAACCAGGACATGACCCACGCCGTGCTGGTCAAGGGCTGGAAGAAGGGCGCCAAGTGGAGCTTCCCCCGCGGCAAGATCAACAAGGACGAGCCCGACCTCGAGTGCGCCATCCGCGAGGTCTACGAGGAGACGGGCTACGACCTCAAGGACGCCGGGCTCGTGCGCCCGGAGAGCGAGATGAAGAGCATCCCCGTCAACATGCGCGAGCAGAGCATGCTTCTGTACGTCTTTCGCGGCGTGCCCATGGACACGTACTTTGAGCCGCGCACCCGCAAGGAGATCTCCAAGATCGACTGGTACAAGCTCAGCGACCTCCCGACCCTCAAGCGCAAGAACCAGGTCCAGCAGGGCCCCGGCCAGGACCTGATCAAGGACAACAGTTTCTACATGGTTGCGCCCTTCCTGGGCCCGCTGAAGGCCTGGATCAAACTGCAGCGGAAGCAGGACAGGCACAGAGCGCCCGCGGGCTCGCATCCGGTCCCGCCGCCCGCTGCTGGCATCACCGACACCGAAGGCTTGGAGGCAGACTTGGGCGAGACGACGGCCGATGAGGCTGCCATGCCAGAGACGCTGTCCGAGGAACAAAGCTTTGCCGCGCTCGTCGCGAACTTGGGCAGGAGTCAGCGCGCGAGCGACGCACTGCCCGAAGTCTCGACGCACGCGCAGACACAGGGCGTCGCCGACCCCGCCGCCGAGCTCAAGCGGCTGCTCAGTGTGGGCATGGGCTTCCCTTCCCAACCTCAGCCAGTCGAGGCCCCCCAGTCCGTCCAAGAACAGCCGCCGAACCCGCTGCTTGCAATGCTGCATGGCAACAACGGACCCCACCCAGACAGTCTACCCAGAACACCCTTCGACCAGATCATGCCGACCCCGCAGCCTCCGCAGAGTCCACATGGCCAGCATCACCCGAGACAGCTGCAACTTGGCCAGATGCCGCCACCGCCTCGGTTTCCGTTCCACCAGCAGCAGCACCAACATCAGCATCAGCATCAGGGAGGTCCTTTCCAAGGCCAGCACCACCACCATATGCCTCCTCAACACCACAATGGCTTTCCACCCCATCCCCCGAGTCACTTCATGTCACCGCCCGCCTCTCAGCACGCCAATCCTGTCTTCTCAGCGCACGCGCCAAATGTTCAGCATACGTTTAATGATTCAGCCCCGCCGCCATACCAGCGCACCGGCGACCCGCAGTTCACACAACCACCGCAATTCCCGGGCGCACACGGTCCTGCCATTCCACCGGCATCAAAACTACCGCCGCCAAAGCTCACGCCACATAGCCTTGGCCTGTTAAACGCCTTCAAGATCAGCGAGAAGCCTGCGATCTCGTCTCCCATCTCACAAGCACAACAGAGCTCGCAGGCAACACCGATAGCAACGAGACCGCCACCTCTCCAGCGCCAGTCCGACGCTTTTGTCTCGCCGCCACCAGCACAAAGCACCCGATCATTTTCGCCAAGTCCGCCCACATTCCAATCACCTCCGCCCCTCGCTAACTTCGAGCCTGCGCAGCCGAAGCCGAGAAATGCTCACCAAGATTCTCTGCTGAACCTCTTCCGATCGCCGTCCATCTCAGCAGCGTCTCCCGTCCCTGCAAAGACACCAGAGCTGCCGGTAGAGTTATCCGCCTACCCTTCAACTCCTGGGTACGCGAAGCTGAATACAGCAGCGGAGGCTGGCCCGCCTATGCCTGACATGCACGCAAAACCAAACTTGCTGCACGCTTTTGGTGGCCAAGAAAAGCCGGGGTTGACGACGGCTACAGTCCGTGGACCCGTCAACGCACCGGATTTTGACACTGTAAAGAAGAATGCCCAACATATCCTCAATGGGAACTCTCGAGGACCGTCACCTTCGACCATGAAACCGGAACCGAAGATGTTCGTTCCTCAGCAGATCCTCAGGCGAGACAGCTCTGTCCCGAGAAAGAATGCGCCACCCGCAGAGCAGGACCGAAGCTCAAATGCAAGCCCGGCTGCTGCACCTCCCGCCGCTCCTTTCAAGCCGCAGATTTTGAAGCGGCCGCAACAGCCACCGAGCCAGGAGCCAGTTCCTGCTCCTGCACCTTCTGCGCATACTCAAAACCTTCTGAGCATGTTCAAATCTCCCTCTCCGCAACCACAACAGCCGCTAAAGCAGGAACCTGTTTCTGTTGCTTCTGCACATACTCAAAACCTCCTGAGCATGTTTAAATCTCCCTCTCCACAGCCACAGGCCGTGCCTGCACCAGCTCCTCCTTCGCGGTCACCAGCTCCGCCTGCCGTGGATCCATCGTCCTTCGGCCGTAAGGATGGCATACCCGCAGATCAAAAGACTGCGTTGCTGTCTCTGTTTGGTAAACCTGCGCCGCTCACTGCATCGCCCACTCAAACCGCAGGGTCTCCACTGGCACCATCGGTCACAGTTCCTATCCCGCCAGCTCGATCTCCGCAACCGCCGACCCCAAAAACCTTCATGTCCGGCCTTATCAGCCCCGTGAGCCCTCTTCCGGGAAGTCAGACCGACAGCCCAGCACAGCTCAACTCGCGCTCGCGCATATCGAGCATTGGCGATACGATGCCGCCCAGTATTGTAATTCCACCGACTAGCGCGCCCACTTCATACCCCCAGATACCTCTAGCACAGCAGAGCAATGGCTTTGGTACCTCGATGGACGGCAGCTTCATGAGTGCTACCTCTGTCTCGGCGTCGGAATTAGGGACGGGCGTCGATAAGGGGAAAGGCAAGGCAGGGACGGACAGTGCTGGCAAGAGTCCGGTGGACAAAAATTTCCTATTAGGTTTCTTGAACGATGTGGCAAGGAAAGGTCGCTGAGAGAGCTTGATGCTATGGGGTCAGCTCGACCACCATGGGTGGCTTGGGTGGTCTAGGATCTGGTTTGATCTTGGTCATTGTGGAGTTTGGGAACATGTAGGAATTGCTATTCGAACTATGCATGGCCACGCGGGATGCTTCATGAGCGGTTATTTCTTGCTAGTCATGGGTAGGCTTGTCAGATAGGGACGCAAAAGCATAGTCGGAGCATCATTAGGAATGCATCAGCTTTATCTACTGGGTGTTGTCAGTTGCATCGCGAAACTGCCTCGTATCTCCCGGAGGGACGGTGTGGAGGCTGTGCTGGTGTGCCTTGGTTCACGTGACGTCATTTCACCCATCAATAAATGCTCACTTACCCATCTTACACTTGCGCATATATCGCCCTCACAGGCCACAACCACGGGGCATGTTCCTTGAAAGCTTTCCGCCAGACACACACAAGTATCCGCATCGCACAGCATAGCATCACATCCGTCAAGCAGTTCCGCTCCCAATCATGGCCGTCTCAACACCCACATCCACCCTCTCCAACCTCATCTCGCGGCTCCGCTCAAAACGAAAATCAAAATCAAAATCAAAATCAAAATCAAAGGAGCATATAGAATCAGATACCCGCCCCCCGCTCATCCCAACCCCCCTTCCCCTCGTCCTCCCCCACCACCAACACCTCCTACCCACCCTGGGCTGGACCACCCTCACGCTGCCCACCAACCCAGCGCATCCGCTGCAGGCCGCGGCCCAAGCCCTCTTCCTCGCAGCGCAGCAGTTCTTCGACAGTCCCGACGCGGAAAAGGCGCAGTGGAAGCACCGTCTCGGCTCCGAGGAAGGGTGGTCCAAGATCCCCGGGGAGAAGGAATTCATCACGCTGCGGACGGCGGCGTACTGTCCGGCTGTGCTGCGGGAGCCGGCGGCGCGGTACTGGGGGCTCATGGGCGGCCACTTGGACTCGACGCTCGGCCGGATTTCCGCGTCGCTCGGACTGCCTTCGGATGACGGTGCGGGGCTGAGGAGGTTCGTCGGGCCGTGTAAGGCCATGGGTGCCGCCGAGGCCGACAAGACGGCGTCCATGTTGAGGATCTTCAGGTACGAGGGGTGGGACGCCAAGGTGGTTGCGGAGCCGCATGCGGATTTGGGCCTGCTGAGCGCGGTGGTGGGCGATGTGCCTGGGCTGGAAGTCTGGGGTGGGGAGGGCTGGGTCGGCGTCGAGAGGGGTTATGAGGCTGGGGGCCGCCAGGCGACGTATACCGTGGGGAGGACGCTGGAGAGGCTGAGCAATGGAAGGTTTCCAGCGGGCGGGCATCGGGTCGTGTCGTATGGGGCGACTCCGACCGAGCAGCAAGAGGCGGGGGAGGTGAAGAAGAGGTATAGGCACAGCATTGTATTTGTGCTGCGGGCGCATGAGCCGGTTGTGGTGGAGAGCAAGGAGCTCGAGACGGCGATTACGGGGCCGTGGGCCGTGCCGGTGGGTGGTGTGACGGCGGGAAAGATGTACGAGGAGATTCGCGGGCAGCACTTCAACATCAACATTGGGCATGAGGAGCGGGAGAAGCAGCGGCGGAACGTGCGGGAGGGCAAGGCGGAGGGTAAGACACAGGCGGCTGGATGATGTTTACATGTTGTTAAGATACCCCTTTACCATCTTCATATCCTCGTTCTCTTCTTATCCCAGATATCCCTCACTCTCGTCACCCACTCGTCCCGCAGAAACGGCCTGACTTTGACAACGCGTCCCTCTCTATCCGCAACCCCAAACTCCATGCCCGGCATCCACGTCCCGCCCTCGGCGCTGACCTTCATGCTCGTCATCATCTCCAGCCGGCACAATGCAAGCCCGACATTCCCAACCACGCTGACTAATTTTCCAGCCGCCCGACCCTTCTTGATGCCCCCGTCTTCGGCCAGTTGCTTGATGTCCGCGCTGTCGAACTGCGCAGGGTCTACCTTCAAGACATCTCCGGTGTATGTAGGGATTTGTAAGTGAGTGTCTGGCTCTGTGTGCGGCGCATCTGCAGTCGAGAGCTCAACGGGCAAGATGCGCTTCCGCACGACGCCCGTGTGCTTGGTGCGTATGGTCAGCTCCTGGCCGAGGTAGCAGCCCTTTTTGAAGTCGATGCCCTGGGCCAGATCGATGTTGTACTCCATGGGCAGCGCGGCCTCGCGAGGTATCTCGGCCGGGCCCTCGGGAACGCCGTACGTGTGCCGCAGCCGGTGATACTCTTCAAGGGGCGCGTTCCGCTTGGGCGGCGTCGTATCAAGGGGACGAACGAGCGAGCGGCACATGGCTATTTTGTCGCCGATGAACCGCGGATCTGGGATAGTTGCCAGGCTCCGGTGAGACTCGCCGAGCGATGCTTCCGAACCCCAGCTCGCCCAGACCTGTACGTTCTCTTTCCCATCCTCGTGGTCCGCGTTCTCGTCGACCACCTTGATCGTAATCTTGCTCCTGAGTTTGTGCCGCTTGAGATGCTTGGCCAGCGCGTCGACCTCGCCCGCATCCACCTCGATGTAGCACGCCCAATCGCCTGCCACGCCCATCTGCTCCTTCAATCCGGGGTAAGTCCAGATGAAGACGTCCCACAGCATCCTGCCCCGCGCGTCGAGGAACGCCGCATAAAAGGGCGTGTCTCTTGAAGGATCGACGTTGTTCGTTATGAGGCCTTGCAGGAACTTGGGTGCGTCGGGGCCGGAGAGGGCGATGAGGCGGCGATGGCTGAGTCTGGCGCATCCCGCTGCGGATGATGCAGGCGCCGGGCCGCGGGCGAGGAACGGGGCCTCGGGTGCAAAGGGAGCATTTTGGGTCGAGTTGTATCTTCGCAGCCTCGCTGGTGCGCTGCTGACGTTGGCGCGAGATCCGGGGCGCTGGTAGGAAGCGCGTCCGCTGTCGACGGGTCGTGCCGTACGGGTCGTGGCGGAAAAGAAGCGGAGCGAGCTGGGAGCAGCTCCGCGCGATGCTATCAGATGGCCCAGACACGCCTCACAGATGGTGGGCGACCATTGGCGCCTGCTGCGCGCAATGACTGAAGCCATCATGGCGATGCAAAGAGTGACGCACAGTAGTGACCAAAAGATCGGGAAGCTTCACGGCGTTTAGCGACGGGTTTAGTGCATCCCTGCACAGCATGATCAGACCCATCGAGGCGCCTGTCCAGTTTCTGCATGAACCGATAGAAACTTGTAATTCCAATCGATATTGCTCGTGCTGATATGACGACCCGTGCTAAGTAGACATCATAAGAGCTTCACACAAGAGACAGCGAAAGAGAACCCTACCACCAGTCGAAAAGCGTACCCTTCCATCATAGCCACCCGACCCCTAACCATACACAGACATAGATCAACATCTCGAAGAACAGTGGCTCGGCAGTCCAGAATTTTGACGCCATGTAGCGCTCAGGCTCATCCAATGTTGCCGTTCTTGAGAAGTTCGGCGACTATGTTCGCCGTTTCCTCTGTACTGGCATTCTTGACTGACGTGGCCGGTCCTTCTGCGTTATGCTGCTTCAGCCGATCCCATCCAGCCTGATTCGATGCCCACTGGGTGGCCTTGAACGCCTGTCCCTAGAGGCTGAGCAGCTGTGGTGCTGTATGTGGCTGGAGATCAGCTGCAGCAAGCTGCAGGTAGACAGGCAGGCGCAGGGTTTGTACCGAATAGATGCGCCATATCGAACAACTGCGGGAGAACAACAAGAGGCAAGTTACAGCTGTCAAAATCGGCACACGGGCGTTCGGTGCTATTGGCGATGGATAGAGGAAGAAAAGGACCTCGCCTCAACAGACCCCACCTCCCCCGTGGACCTAGGGTTGCGGATTTTGACAGAACAGCAGGAGTAGCAAAATGTGATAGCGAGTAGTGTCATTCAGAAACGCCGACAATGCCTCCATACGGCGCCTACATGGTACAGATACTCATCAATGTACATAGCCTAACGCCTTCGCTGAACCCCTTAGCATTTCCAAGCACACTAAACCCGAGGTCCTTCTTGATGCACGCGACACTCTTTTCGTTGCTCTACCTCCGCCCTCAATCATTCTTCCTCGTGTTTGTCGTCAATCTCTCCCGCTCATCATCGCCGCTCCCAGGCTCCATGTCCTCATCATCGCTCCACTTGTCGTCTTCGCCCACTGCAAATATCGTGTCGCCGTCCAAACTCTCTCTGGGCGGCACAACAGGTTTCTGGGGTTTGGGAGCGGGCAACGGCGAGACATTGCGGTTAAAGGGTGGAGGACTGCGATGTCTCGGCGCTGGGTCGTATGCTGCTGGTCCGTTTCCTTCTTCTTCGTCCAGCGAGTCGCGCAACGAAGCGATTTCGAAGCCTTCGTCATCTTGTGCAATCTATGATGTTGTCAACAAACGTGCCATCGCTGGCAAGAGTAGGAACTTACCTCATCACTCATAGCAAATCGCCTGTTGTTTGCTGTGGGCCTCCACATGTAGGCGACGAAACATACGTCGGCAAAGTATACCAGGTTGAGCCAGCCGTCCAAGACGAACCACCTAGTTTGCCAGTGCGAGGGCGCGAAATCGGGGCTGGAGACGCCAGCAAAGGTGAAGCTGTTGAGGAAAAAGAAGCCGAAGATGACGACAATGCTCGTCAGGATGCACCACCACAGCTTCTTGTACATGTCCGCTTTCACGTGCTGCTTCCGCTCCATGAGATCCTTCATTGTAAGGTTCAGCGAGTTGAGTGTCCAGATGTAAAAGGCCGTGAGAGTCGCGGAGAGTGGAAGAATCACCAACAACACGAGCGGGCCCGCGTCGTCTGGTCGAATTGTGAGCGACGCAATGGCGTACACGACACCAAAGACAAAGTGCGCCACAGCCAGCCACCGTACAATGACCATGGTCTTGCCGAGAGTGTGCTTGACCACACCATATCCCATGCAGACAATGAGGAGCAGGAAGAACGAGAAAGAGTTGCGGAAGGCGTTCAAAACGGCGACCACGATCATGAGAACCTTGGCGCCCAGGTTGTTGCCATGGCGGTTCTGGTAGTCGTAGAAGCCCCATGTCATGAGCATTTCCAGGACGAGGAACACCAAGATGGCCGTGATATAGTTCTGCACGGCGAGGATGTCATGTCGATGCTGGAAGTACAGGAACCCCCAGAAGCTGCTGACGACGAAGTATGCGATGGTGATGCCGCCGTAGAAGGGCAATTTTGGTATCTGGGCGGCGGGCAGCTCTCCATACGCGTTGCGGAATGTCACAATGGCTTCGTACTTGACACCCTCGGTGAAGGGCAGCGTCGCCACGCAGTAGTAGCCCGTCTTGAGCGGCACCTTCTCGGCATTGTCCTTGTTGGGGTAGTTGATAGGCTTCTTCTTGTCGAGGTGCATCGCCTCGGTGCGGATGAGGTTCTTGGACTTTGCTTCGTAGTCGTCGGCGAGGATCCACTCGGCCTTGTGCGTCTCATTGCAGAGATTGGCCTTTATGCTTTGGTCGTCGCAGATGTAGACGAGCTGAGGCAGAGTTAGCTTGCGCGAAATGGCCCGGGTGCGCAGCGCAACAAACCTCGTCGCCCGTCTGCTTCCCCAGGAGCGTCGAGTCCTTCCACTCCCACACTATGACGCTGACGGTCGGGTCCTTCAGCTCCTTGTTCTTGTCCGTGTCTATGAATTTGACCTCGATGAAGGGATCGACCGGGCCGCCCCAGGACTTCTTGCTGTACATGCCCGAGCATTTCTGCGAATCGTCTTGTGTCTGCAATCCGTCAGCAAGAGCATGGCATGCGGAAGCAGATGAGGCGCACCAGGACCACGTCGACGGCTGCCACCGCGGTCAGGGTTGACAGCAGCAGCAGCGCGGCCTTCCGCGACCATGGCTTCATGGTGCCTCGGAGCCTTGAGGCCAGCTGGCGGAGGGGGCGGAACCACGTCGGGACTTCGCGGCAAGAGGGCGTGGTGTTTGTGAAGCGGCGACGTGAACTACGTGTCGGTCGGCATGGAATCGCATGCGCTGGTGTCGTGGACGGGGAATGTGAGCGGAGCGCACTGGAACCTGGGAGCTTGACGCGGCCTGCTGGATCCACATCACCGAGCGTTGGCGTCGGGAGGCGCCTGCCTGCCTCCCGGTGTGGCGCAGCACACCAGCAATGATTCACCCGCAGGGCGACCGTGCAACCCATGACCGCACAACACTGCGTGCGATCCGCCTCGTCAGACCAGCTCCGCGAACATGCCAGGAAAACGCATCGCGCAGGTCGCAGAGCAGCTCTGCCGGCGCTGCACCGAGAACCAGGCCGTCCTCGTCGTGCGCAGAGACGCGCTCTGTCGGTGAGTGCGCATTTTTCTGCGAGGCGAAATGCCGCCGCGCTGCTAACATGGCAAAGGGACTGCTTCGTGAGATATGTCCACACAAAGGTCATCAAGCACATGGAGTCCTTCCGCGTCCGGCATGCCGATCCCAACCGTCAACGGAAGCTGTTACTCGCACTTTCCCTGGGCGCATCATCGGTGACTCTCCTGCACATCCTGGACCACCTGCTCGAGACTCAAACCAGCAAAAGCGGCCGGACTGGATTCGGACTCAGCGTGCTTTTCGTCGAGACTGCAGGCGACGCTTCTCACCAGGTCCGACTCTCCAAAGTGCGGCAAGCATACCCAGACTACGACATAGCATCCCTGCCACTCCATGATGTTTTCCGCTTGGTCCCAGACCAAGAGAGCCTGTCTGGTCTGTTGCCTGGACTTGCGACTGTGCAAGAACTGTCTCCCGCGGACAAGCTTGCAAAGTTGTTTGGCTCACTCACCTCTGCTACAGCGCGTGCAGACGTTGCTGCCACGCTCAGGACAAGGCTCGTCGTGGAATACGCCAGATCGTCTGGTTGCGAGGTCGTGCTCTGGGGTGATAGCACGACAAAACTCGCCGAGAAGACACTAGCTGAGACAGCCAAAGGACGCGGATTTTCTCTTCCATGGCATGTGGCAGACGGCGAGACCCCCTTTGGTTTGGCTTTCAACTACCCCCTTCGAGACCTGCTCAAGAAGGAACTGGTCGCGTACGTGGAAATAGTCGGCAGCCCCCTTCCCTCATTAGTGCTTGACTCCGCGCCAACACAAGCTTCCATGAGCTCCAAGAACACTACCATCGACGACCTGATGAAGCAATACTTCGAATCAGTCGAGGAGAACTTCCCCAGCATCGTTTCGAACGTTGTCAGGACAACAGGGAAATTGACAGCTACCTCGAATACGAATGATGCATCCGTTTGCGATCTCTGCAGCATGCCCGTAAGCGACGGCCGCTTTGGCATCCACGGATGGGGAGGCGATCAGCATGGTATTGCTGACCCGGTTAGAGCAAGTAGCGGGAGGCGCCTGTGCTACGGCTGTACCCGCTCTATCCCATCTACTACTAATCCTTCGAATGTAGTTGCGTGATTTACCGCCATAGTCCGCTTGCTTCATCGTTTAAGTTAGACGGAGGTCCTTAGGTTCTTTGTCAGCCTGAGCATTAGAAGTATGGTCGGCGCAAGGCAGACACCCTAACACGAGCGGGCAGTCCTTTGAGGACTGCCGCCAGAAGCCGAGCCACGGGCTTTGCCGACTCTTCAGCGACGCCTTCTGTAGGCTGCGTTCACACAGGGCGTAGTATACGTCTTGTCAGTCATCACCTTCTGCAATTGGCAATCGAGGCGGTAGCAAAGATGCCTTCAAGTCGAGACGCCATACAGGCACAACCAAGCCACCACGATCCGTGAACAGCATTTTTAATTGCTTGGGAAAAGGCCGTGAAAGTCGGACGGAACCTTGCCGCGCGGTCCCAGTTCGATCGTGCATGAACGGCTTCCCGAGGTACGGCGCAATAGATTCAATAACAGTGTGTATTACTTGCTACTTTGCAACGCGCTCAATAGTCGTGTATGTACCTGCAGTCGACACATGAAAGGCGTGTAATTACACGCGCCGTGGTTCGCTGGTCTCGCTGAGCAGCTCGGAGACCTTCCAATTCAAGCAGACTAACAGCGGTCGACCGGCTTGAAGCGAACAAGGCGCGTTGATCGCCATGCTTGTTTCGTATACCCTGTTCTTCTACCGTCTCCCCAAATGCGTGTTCAACCAATCGTCGTGCCACGAGTCTTCGTTCATCGGCGCATCGCCCTCGGAGCGTACTGGAGCACGCACGTGTGGCTCCGGAGGCTTCAAGATATAAGGCCGTACGATGCTGAGCTTTTCACAAGCCCATCAAGCTTTTGTTGACCAAGACTAACGTCACGCTTCGTCGCCGTTGCTTGTTCATTATGGTTGACATCTTGGCGTCGATGAAGGCGTTGCCGCTCTTCGCGGCGTGCGTATTAGCGGCGGCTAGCTACCCTCCCATTCCATCGGACAAGACCACTCCAGTGCAGCAGCGCCTTGCTGTCAAGGGACCGAATGGTACATCATCATCGCTTTCCATGATTTTTCAATAAGCTGACATATCATAGCTGTGTCCGTCGGCTGGAACACCTACCAAAAGCTCGCCCAGCCTTGCGTCCAGTACGGAACTTCAAAGACCTCTTTGACGTCCATGCAATGCTCAACCAGCTCCATCACATATCCCACTTCGCGCACATACTCCAATGCTGTGACTCTGACGGGACTCACGCCAGCTACGACCTACTACTACAAGATTGTGTCGACAAACTCATCTGTTGAGCACTTCCTCAGCCCACGTGTGCCTGGTGACAAGACGCCCTTCTCCATCAACGCCATCATCGATCTCGGTGTGTACGGCGCAGACGGCTTCACTATACAAGGTGACCAGACGAAGCGCGATATCATTCCAACGATTGACCCATCGCTCAACCATACCACCATCGATCGTCTTGCACGGACGGTCGACGACTATGAGTTCATCATCCACCCGGGTGATCTGGCATATGGTGAGGATATCTGCCTGTTTGAGTTCACTACATGTCTAATTTTGCCCAGCCGACGACTGGTTCGAGAAGCCAAAGAATCTTCTTGACGGAAAGAATGCATACGAAGCTATCCTCGAGCAATTTTACACCCAGCTAGCGCCTATCGCAGGTCGCAAGCCATATATGGCCAGCCCTGGTAACCACGAGGTTGCCTGCCAAGTGAGAAGACTCAGCATACCGTTTCCTCATCAATTGCTCACGCCCATCTAGGAAGTTCCCGTGCTCACTCTCGCCTGTCCCGAAGGTCAGAAGAACTTCACCGACTTTATGAACCGCTTCGGGCAGACCATGCCCAGCTCTTTTGCCTCAACATCCGCAAACCAAGCAGCCAAGGTGAACGCCAATAAAGCCGCCGCGCTTGCAAAGCCGCCATTCTGGTTCTCCTTCGAGTACGGCATGGTCCATGTTGCCATGATCGACACGGAAACGGACTTCGCCAACGCACCTGACCAGCCGGGCGGCTCTTCCGGGTACCTTAACGCCTCGCCCTTTGGCACCGCAAATCAGCAGCTTGACTGGCTCGCCGCGGACCTCGCCTCTGTCGACCGAACCATCACCCCTTGGGTCATCGTTGGCGGCCACCGCCCCTGGTACACTACCAAGGGCAGCTCCCCCTGCGACTCGTGCCAGAAGGCGTTCGAGCCCCTGCTCTACAAATACGGCGTCGACCTCGCCATCTTCGGTCACGTGCACAACTCGCAGCGCTTCCTGCCCGTCAACAACAGCGTCGCAGATCCCGCGAAGCTGAACAACCCCAAGGCCCCAATGTACATTGTCGCTGGTGGTGCGGGTAACATTGAGGGTTTGTCGAGTGTGGGTGGCAACTACTCAACGAATGTGTTTGCGTATGCGGATGATTTCAGCTACGCGAGTGTGTCGTTCCAGAGTGCGAATAACTTGAAGGTCGATTTCATCAGGTCGAGCACGGGCGACGTTTTGGACTCCTCGGTGTTGTACAAGAAGCACGATCAGCAGTTTGTCGTGCAGTAGGGACAATATCGTTCATGATAACAAATGATGAGTAAAGCACGATTCACGTAACAGAAGGCTCGACGCAGCCAGACGAATGTAACTTTGGATTTCGTATCGACGTTCGAAACTGTAGTGAATGTCCAAGTTAAGACCCACTCAGGAGTTCTGGACGCGGGTAACGATGTATACAATGATCACCTTCTCGCATGCTGCGCTGCATCTCCCACACACGCCCTGCTGTGCCGCGTCACAATAATGCTGACTATACAGGTAATTCTAACATCTTGCGAGAAACCCTACACAAGACACCTTGGGCGTTTCTCTTCTTCCCCTGCACAAGACCCCTCAATTGTTTCTCTTGTCACCTTGCAACATCTCAAGCACCCAGCTGCATGTCACAAGACAGCAGGAGATGCGAGAAAACTACCAAATGCCTTCACGCGGCACTGCATATAATCGATGGGGCAAGCTTAACTATCCAATTTCACCACTGAACCTGAAACATATTTGGCTCGCACGACGGACGAAAAAACAACGGGGAGCCTAGGATAGAAATTGACCTGTCAAGCGTCACAGTAGTCGACTTGGGTGCAGGCACAGGGTATTCTATTTGTTCGCTCAACTTCATCACTGGCCGCAAGGGCTGATTTTGCCCGCTAGTATCTATGCGTGTGAGCTATTCGCAGAGCTTCCCGACACAGCAACCGTTAATGCGAAAAAACATGCTCACGCTCATTAGCACGTACTTAACTGTGAATGTGTCTCTAGTTAAAGCGGATTCACATAGGTCCAGGAGTGTATGTGCAATGATTGGAGGTCGTGCCGCTCACGGCGCAAGTGCTTGCAAAGAACAGTGGCGAGCTGACGCCTGGCAGCGACGCACTCGTCCAGCAGTGGCACAACCCGGCAGGACATATCCCATACGAGTGAGTAGAACCTGCTGCGTACATGATCCTCGAGCTCGCTGATTGGTAACCAGATGTGTCCCAAATCTGCCAAAAATGTTTGCTGAGAGCGTGTTGGAATGGTGGTTGATGATACACTGGGCAAATCTGAACGTTATCAGGTGGCAGCTCAGCAGAGCTACCTAGCAGGTATCCAGGTATATCCTCATCAACAGGTACAGGGCGCTCAGTTAGTGGCTTTTTAGAAGCAGCTGATTAACAACGCTGAGGGTGGAGCGTTTGTTGATGTCAAGTACACGTTGTTGGTGGATCACAAGAGCTTGTTACAAGTAGCAATGCCACGACAAAGGAGAAAGCGTTCACATCCATCGAACGAGCTGGCTTTTCAATGGTATTGCTGCTGCACGGTGTTGAAGGCAAAGACTGAGTCCCCGTACGTAACATGTCCACGAAAACTGCATTTGCGGAATAAACTATCTACACCGCAAGTTGAGTCAACGTAACCGTTGCAAGGTCAAAATAAGCAATTATGGGAGAAAGATGCTTGCCATGTGTTGACAAGACGTAACAGTTGTAGCAGTACTGACCTACTATTAATTGAATGTGTGCGTACGGGGACTTGGAGTCAGGTGGATCCAGCGCCATCGACTGGAGCACACAAAGGAGCCAGGATTGCTGACACAGAGGCAATGACGGAATGATGGGACTTTGGGACAAGGGCGGAAGGGTGAGACCCAAAGCCTATAACGCCTCCTCCACCCGCTTATACTTACACGACCCACAGCGACCGCACTACCACATTATATAGATAGATTGTATAAGAATCATGATTGTATAAGCCTATGGAATAATCCACCACAATATCTCGCGATAATAGCTATTATTCGTGGCTCTACAGCCTCATTTTTGTAGTGGGCTTGAGGGCCCGGAGCGGGCGTTCGGTGACTCCGGGCGTTCGGTGCACGGACACGGTACCGTGTCCGTGCACGCGATGCGCGGTTTCGCCAGATGCGCGATCTCAGAAAAATCGCGCAATCTTCACAACCTCATAACTCAACCAATATGGATCCAATCAACGAAGCGATTGAAGAAATCAACTCCCTAGGACCAGGCGAAACTTTTACGTACACTGCAATAGCAAAAAAATATGGTGTTGTACGCTCAACGTTAACGCGCCGGCATAAGGGTAAAACAGCCTCATCTACTACCCAGCACGCCAACACACAAAAGCTCACTCCATAACAAGAGCTAGAGCTTATAAGCTATATAGAACAGCTTATAGCTCATTAGCTACCACCTACAAGGGAGATGGTACAAAATTTCGCGTCAGCTATAGCAAAGGAGCCAGTGAGCGAGAGCTGGGTTACCCGATTTCTCACCCGCCATGGGATCTCTATTACCCCCCGATGGAGTACTGGAATGGATCGCGATCGCCACCATGCTGATTTAGAGGATAAATATCAACTATTCTTTCAACTTCTAATAGAGGTTATTGAGAAATACGATATAGAGCCACGTCACACGTACAATATGGATGAGAAAGGCTTCCTTATTAGGGTAATTAGAAGAAGTAAAAGGATCTTTAGTAAAGCAATATAGGACCAAAAGGAAGTTACAGCAGCCCTTTAAGATGGTAATAGAGAGTGGATAACACTACAAGTATATGTTTATGGTGATAGATCAGCTCTCCCTCCTACTCTGATCTTTGCCTCTGCAAATTCAGCCCTTCAAGCTTCTTAGGTAGATGGAATTCAGGCTAGAAAACACCAAGTTCACGTTAGCTCATCTCCCTCTAGCTGGACCAACAATGATATTAGCCTAGCGTGGCTTGAACAGGTGTTTAATTGATACACTAAGCAGAAATCACGACAATCCTATTGGCTATTAATCCTTAACGGCCATAGATCCCACATCACTATGGATTTCATCAAGTTCTATAATTAGAATCGAATTCTCCTCCTAATATTCCCCCCTCATTCAACCCACACGTTACAGCCACTAGATGTGGTAATATTCAAGCCTCTATCATCTACCTATTTAAAATAGCTCACAAAATACCTCTACAACGCCTAAGGACTATTACTAGTTAAGAAAGGAGACTTCTTCCTACTATTTTAGGAAGCCTAGACCTACTCCTTTTAAGAAAAAACAATCCTAAGGTCTTTCTAAGTAACTAGAATAATACCTCTTAGCCTAGAGATTATACTTAAACAGTTCAAGAAATCAACACCAGAGCAAGAAGAGAGAGAGAACTCTAGCTCAGTCCTTAGTAGAGAGGATTAGCTCAAATTGCATAGCCTAATATAATCAGAAGTAAAGGACTAGAGTAGTAGAGAGGCTCAAAAGCTAAGCCGCTCACTCCACCATATATTAATCCAAAATGAGCTACTCCACATAGAAGTAGAAGGCTTATCAAAGGCTCTACTTTCTAAGAAGAAACACGAGAAGAAAAGCAAGCCCCTAGACCTACAGCAACGCTAGGAGTACCGCAGGGGCGCTGTATTCTAGTCCCCATCTAAAGTGAGGGAGGCCCAGTTCCGCCAAAGGATTAAAGACCAAGAAGCTAAGAAGTAACAACTTGAAAAAGCTCATAAGAAGGCAGAAAAGGCCTCAAAAAAGGTACATCAACTTTAAGAGAAAGAAGAAAGAGCAAGGTTAAGGATTCAAAGGCGAGAAGAAAAGGAGAGGATTACAGCTAAGAAATAGGCTACACGCCAACGTAAAGAAAAAGAGAAACAAAATACTAAAAAGCCTATACAAACTTCCCAAAAAAGAAAGAGGAAGGCTTTAGAGCCTACTATAAAGCTTATATAGAAAAAACAGAGGCGTGAGGTGGTTGCAGAGGGTAGGGGAGGTGATTAGGGCCGTGATCCTTCATCTGTGAGAACTACGAGGGTTGGCAGGAACATCAAACTCCCACAGAAATTCAAGTAGTCCATCTTTTTCGTAGTAGTTTGTTTAGTATTTAGATGGATTATTAGAATAATTAAGCTATTGTGGGTGGCTCTGTAACTCGATTTCTGCAACTCAGTGATTTGGTGATGGGCGCGCATCTGGCGAAACCGCGCATCGCGTGCACGGACACGGTAAGCTTTTGGGCACCGCCTCAGAAGGCTGAGGGAAAAGGCTGCCCCATCCCCAACCATCAGAGATATTATTACATCGAACGCTTTTATTTCCCCCACAATCTATAGCCACACATCTTGGTTCGTCTAGCAAATACTTTAAGTTGCGCGAAGTTTGCGTTGTAGTGGGAGTTGGGCTCAAGATTTTCTTTCGCTTCTCTTTCGAAGGCTGTTTATAGGCTACCGGTAGTCAGAACTTCTCTTTCAATTCCTGTTAGAACCATTCTTAGAAGCTGTAGCTCGACACATCGCCTTGTGCTCTTTGTAATGGGCGACCTGGCACGCCCGCCCGCAGTACATGACCTTGTTGCACCTTCCGCACTGCATCAACTACACATAAGCCTTTTCGCACTTCGCACATTGGGCCGGTGCCGACAACAGGCCCCTCCCATTTCCACTTCCACTCTCTAGCGCCGCCAACAAATCCCCCGCTATCGTTCTCGTCAATCTCAACACCCGCTGTTCACCCAAGCTGGCGTGCGCCGCCGACCATGCGTTCCCTCCCGGGGAATAGAACCCCTCTGCGAGTTGCTCTTCCAGCTTTTCGAGTTGAGTTCCGAAACCGTCGAGAAGACTAGAAATTGATTCTACCAGAAACTGCAGAACTTCCACTTCGTTTGAATCGCTGGTTTTCTCAACTGCAGCATCGCTTTGATGAGGCGCTATTATAGCAAGATCCGATTCGTGCAGCCGTTGAATATGGAGGTATCGAAGGACGCTTCTTGGTAGCGGATCATTGAGAGTAAGAGAAATAGTAGAGGTCGAATCGAGCCCAGCCGATAACCAGAGTTTGTGCTTTTGCTCGAAAAATGGGGCCATGGGATCAGTCATGAGAACGAGGTCATAGCTGTCATTGGGATTACCGGGCACGATAAACCCATAGAGACGTAAAAGGCGATTGTTTGGAATAGGCCCATAATTGATGAAAACCTGGAAGAATACTTCTAGGTAAGCGCACGAATTAGTAGCATTAGAAAACAAGACGGACGCACCTGATCTCCCGATTCGTAGTTTTTCCCGGCAAGAACAGAGAGATTTCTAGACAAGGCATCGTAGGCGTGACACTGCTTAACCTCGGACGAGTGGTTCAACATGTCCGCGAAGGGGGCCAAAGGTCGAATTGAATCTCCATCGGGCAGCTGAAAATCCATCGCATGACTCCATACAGTGCAGAGAGCCCACTTGTACTGAAAGATAGGAATTAAGTGTTAGTAACCGCTTCACACCATTTTTCGCGTGTTGTATTTTCCTACATCTTCGATGGTGAATTTGTGGCGTGGGAACAGTTCTTGATGTCGTTCAAACAGTCGTGCTACTAATCCCTTATAATTGTTCTTGATCTGGCGATCCAGCTGCTTCGTGGTAGTGTAGAGCGAAGTTCCCACGCAAACTTCCAGCTCGGCCTCCGCAAAGAAGATGCTCGAAGTGTAGCTCGCAGGTAGCGCCGCCACATGGATTCGCAGGCCATCGTATCCCGACCCGCACGATCTGACAAAGAGAATATACGTAGCCAAGGTGTCATCGACAGACAAGGGCGGCCGCGTAGAGCGAAGGGCTGGCCCAAGGAGGGGATCAGCATATGCGTGTTTGACTATCCAGAGAACGCCATGTGGAATGGTGAGGATTTTTTTCTCCTTCCTTGAATCGCCGCAGCGTTCTGACACCGCGGCCAGTATCCGAGAAGTCGGCGAGCTCGAGTTAGATCTGAAGCCATCAGTAGCGCCAAACTATCAAAGGAGCAACACAGGGAAAATTTGGCGCAGGGACGTGGCTGGCTGCACACAACTTGAAACGATTCTTCAGCTACATTACATAATATTGTGGAGCATAATATGCGCAGCGAGATGACTTGTATTAACTCGAAGTCGAACTAGGTACACGCTTACTCTGCCTATGTGGCACACTCGCCAATCTGGGAATTGTCTATTCTTTGAGCATGACAAACGCATTAAGAGATACGTGAGAATTGTCCTATCCACTTTTCGCCCCTGGAGATCGATGAATAGTGAACTAAGTCATTGTGATGTAGAGTAGGTGGATCTCAAGATAGCTTGATTATGGCCTTCAGTTGGGTTGTCGTTCATTGATGAGGGTGGCACTGCTGAAACCGCGAGTCCTCAAGGCCTCGATGAGGCCGCTTGCCCAGGTGGACCGTTCAGATCTGGTCCTGGTACTGTGTTCAGCGTTACGTGTCTCCTTGCCGCGGACTGAGCGAGAAGCCTTGCCACGGACGGAAGGTTCGGCTTCGGCATCGCGAGTAGCCTTGCCGCGGACTGAGCGAGACGCCTTGCCACGAACTGATCGTGCTTCAACTTCCCTGATGTCCTCTTTCTCTTCTTCGTCATCTATATCCTCTTCGGTGGAGCGCGTCGCCTTTCCACGTACAGAGCGAGTTGACTTGCCACGAAATGAGCGTGTCTCGATGTTATCTTCTTCGCCTTCTTTCTCCCCGGCGGAACGTGTAGACTTGTCTCGGACAGATCGTGATTCCTTACCACGATCTGACCGAGCATCGGTCTCCTCGTCCTCAGCTTGCTCATCCTCTTCAGAGCGGAGTAGGAATGGTACTTTCTCGACAGAGCGGGCTTGGACTAGGCGTGTCTCCACAGCAATGTCAGGAGCGTCATTGAGTTTGAGATTAGAAATTGGCGCAGTCAGGACGGTGAGAGCGAATATAGCGATGATGAGTGCGGACCGCATGTTGTTGGTATCGTGAAGAATCAAGTAGAGTATTGATTTACTTTTTTTTTTTTTTTGGGTAAAGTTGCAGTGTGCACAGCACAAATTTCAGGTCAGAAAAAGCAGGCACAGCCTGAGAGTAGAAGTTGAATTCGAAAGAATGAGTTGAGAAGATCCGGATCCTCTGCTCCATGAAAGTTGAGAAACGAGTGGCACTTTATCCATTCGACGCCGGGCATGTTTAGGAAAGTCGTACTGAGTGAGCCGAAAGTTGATTGGATGAGCGAGCAGGTGACTCAAGATACTGAAGCGCTGCTCAAACCTCGCTTCATGCACATGCGTGATGGTGGGTGCCGAAATGATAAACATAGGCGCCCGACGGATGCCATAACAGGCTAGGTCGAGAGCAGTGGGCAGGACTTTAGCCGCCCGGGACCACTTCTCTGGGTTTGATCCACGAATCAATCCATGCCCCGCTAGCCCCACAGGGCATTGTGAGCGCCTGGCTTCATCGCATAACGAGCCAACAACTGACTGGTTCTTCTGCTATATTGATGTTAGGGTTGGCGTATTTGTTGCTGAATGCTGCAAGCGGCGCACCCTCTGAATGCAATGTCATCTAGGTAGTGATGGGACAGTCTCATTGCCAATGAAAGCCGGCCGAGGACAGTCAGTAGTGGGAAAGGAATTGACTTTGCGAACGAGGCGTTGCGCAGCACGAGCACATACAGAAGTACACAAAATGTGATATGATGGCATATTTGCTATTATAACAAGAATTTGCCAACGTGAGAGCTGTCACAGCGACAAAGATGCTGCTCATAACGTCGTCTCCTCACAGCCAGTGTGCCCGATATAGAAGCGCTCATGGGATGGAGTAGGTAGGGAAAGAGAAGCCCAGCGAAGGTCTATGAAGATGAAGGGCTACCTTTGAAAGAAGGGGGTATACTGTTGCCCGAGAACCTCCAGCCACCTATAGGAACCCACTTCACTTTGACCTCCTTAGCCTTCGCTCGTGGCGTTTCGTCGGCTTTCGTCGAAGTCATCTTCTTTGACATATCATCAGGTAGACCGTAAAGGAGTGTAGCTATGGCTGACGTCTTCCAGACGCCGACTTGACCGCGGTCATGCTCTCTTGAGCTTCGGAAAATGGTCGCAAGCAAGAAGATACCAGTAAAGGCGAGTAGCCCGAGTGGAAGCGACAACCAGACCCATCGTACATCCACAAAACTCTCGAGGTCGTACGCCATGCCTTCCACTGTTTCTGTATCGCTTGGAGCTGATCGCATCATGTTTGTCATTGCTGAAGCCATGCGATCCATGTGCATCGTGACATTTCTGTACAGCCAGGGATTGTAGATCATTCTCCGGGTGTAAGGAGTGATGGTCTTCCACCATTTCCATCGCATCATTGGCTGGGCGTCCTTGTCGTCGCTAAGGATCGTGTAGGTAGAGGGAAACACATCATCGAACAGAGCTACCATGGCATTATGAGTGTTGTTGTCGATGAAGTAGGTGTTATTCTCGGTGATTAAGGTGATATTTTCCAGGTATACGTAGTCGTAGAGGATCATCTGATTGTTGTCATTCGGAATCACTGTCGTTAGCCAGTGCGATTCTCCTACGGATGTATTCACGAATGCTCTAGTTATCTTTTCGATATATCCGCCCGCGGTGTAAGTCGACTGCATGGTCTGAGCGGACCATGATAGTATACACTCCTGGGCTGATGGGGTTGCGTTCCGGTGCACTGACTCTGCTTCCTCACCGGAAACGATGATAACGTGTGCCAATGGATTTCGACTGTTGTTGAGCAGAGGTGTATACCCTGGCATGAATTCTCGGGAAAATAAGTCATATAAAGGTTGAGCGCGTTGCAAAAGAATTTCTCCAGAATGGTTCGATCTTCGGTCTACGTTGTACCCTGTCATGAGAAGTGGCTTGTCTGCTTTAAGCCACCATCCGCAAGAGGTTCCATTCGGGAAGGTATAGTCCTCGACAGCGTCGGGATCCGCGTCAGGCATTTGGATCCAGTCCATTGGTCCGTGGCTGCATCTGAACTCCATGCGATCAATTGCATCGCGGCATTCATTTGAGATACCGAATGTCTCATAATCTGGCCAGGTACAGTTGCTATTTGGACATCCCAGTGGAACCTCAGCTCTCATCCCTTTTCCAAAGGTCATAGGAGGTGTCCCGTTGCCGAAGAAAAAGCGATAGCCGACTCCAACCATTGATTGATCGGTCTCCATAGTTTGGAAGCCTTGCTGAAAGCTCATACTAGAATAGAATGGTTCGTACCCAATCGCTCTCGGAATTTGACCTTTGCCGTCCTGAAGTCGCCATTTCTCAGGGTACTCTACGACTTGTTGGAAAAAGGGATCGAGACATAATGCCATGATAGTTACGCAGGCTCCGAGCGCCGCGAGTGACCTGCCCTTTGTACGGATGATCAGTAGAAGGGAGCCCCATGGACCCCTTGACGCATTATCAAAGATCTCGAAATCCCACATTTTTTTCGAATTGTCACCTTGAAACCAACTCCATTTAAGTTGCCCCAGGGCCTCGGAAACGGGTAATAAAAGAGCGGCGGATGCGATCTTTGCCAGAACCGAGATATAGGCGTTCAGAGTAAGACCGAGAGGCCATCGAGGGATGCTACGATTCTGATAGACGTACAACATGACGATGACACCCGCCATGCACGCAGCACTGAGCGTCCAACTGATGATCTCTAGTAACCATCTCTTCACCACGTTTCGCGAAGCGCTGTACCTCCACAGTCTTTGCTCGATGCGTTGCGCAAAATTAGAGGCTTGCTGCACATCTGCAGCATTTTCTTCTCCTCTTTTCTCGGCTATTCCAGGAGTTATTGGACTTGTATCGGGTCTGAAAGGGGCCTCCTCGATCCCAAGTCCAGCTATACTTTTTCGCCTCCAATCGATCTTGTCGGACTCTGTGACAGTTGGGGAGTGTGGCGAGAAGGCATTTCGACGGAATCGTAGATGGGGTCTTCCTTTGGGGTCAAACTGGAGGGATCGGTTGGGGGCCTGAGGTTTCGACCGGTGGCGAGGCGTCTCAACGGTGAGAATGGGTACGGCTAGGTGTCTGGAAGATTGAGGTGGGGGTGCCAACAAGCTGTATGATGGCGGTGTAGGTGAGTGTGCGGGCGGTTTGGACACACAATGAATCGGTGTATCTCTCGAGCTTGTTTCACACGTAGGGCAAATATACTCGGGAGCATGTCTCGAATGTGGCGGTGTCTGTCCTTGTACACGGTAATCGTCTTTGGGATCGAGGAATATAGGGAAGTTTGGATTAGCGGACCAGTATGGAGACACTGGCAACCTAGGCATATTGTGCGAGAGGGTACAAGCTTTCACCAGTCTAGTCCAGTGGCTTGCTAAATAAGATTAAGTATAAGTATGTATGAAGTACGCCTGCGTACCGGCAAGGATTGGACACTGGATAGCCTGTAGAGAGCCTGCGATACCTTTATCACACCTCCTAGCGTCTGTGGCACGGTTGTCCAACAAGGTGTGTCTATATTTGGGGACTACACCGTCATGGGCCACGCACTCGTAGATCGTTTGGAGCTCCAGTCACAGGCCAAGGCGTAAGCCGCACCCTGGCCGAACGCCGCATTCCAGCATTGCTTGAGGAGCCTCAATTACCAGTCAAAGTCGGGTATAGGGAAGGATTCGGTGGACTAGCAGAGCAAAGGCTTAGGAGATGTCAAGCCTTACAGCAGGCCCAAACACGCGCCGGATAGCTCATTTGGTGTTGGTTTTCCGTCGGCTGGCTCCTCAGGCCAATGAGAGATGTCCTTGGCTGCGCTTAGCGCGTTAAGAAGCTCTACTAGTAGGATGGTCCGTGAATCAGGCAATCTGCGTGATACCAAAGGCCCAACGCTTGCGGATGAATGAGAGGCTATCTCCTTTCCACAACGTTCAAATCTAGACACATAAAATACCTCAGCAAAGTTTGCTGGACCAAAGCAGAAAAAGCAGGACTTGAGGGATATAGGAATAGACGGTTGTCGATCGACCATGAAGCATAAAGCATACAAGTCACCTGGAGCTATGCTTAGAGCCTCCAGTCGCGGCGAGACCTACGCGCAGAACTCGGTCTACGCCTCAATCCTACATGATAGATGAACAGGCTGAAAGTACATCGTTGACAGCAGGATATGCAGCAAGGTGAGCTTAGCTCTCCGTCGATGCACTCGAGGCCAGGCGGCCCAATGGAGGCCTCGTATAAGCGCTGGGATGGATCAGTTTGTTTAGGTCACGCCGTGCAGGCGCCGGTAGCTCAAATCAACGCTGCGGCACGGGCATGTGAATCTGATAGTGAAAGGCTATCCGCCTATCCCTAACAGGTGGCGTGGGCAAAAGGCCGCTGGAAAGGTACAAGGTACGATGCAACGGAGTGAAGGTTGACGATTGGCGGTGATTGCTCGGCGTCGTCGCGGGCAATTTACGCGCCGGCCTTTTTGTGGAACCACTGATTCGCCCAACACGCGCGTTAGCAGTGTACGGCAACCACAAGACCTACTGGGCGATTTATCGCACTACTGGTCGTCATATTCAAGTTCAAGCGGGTGGATGCTGAGTGAGGCGGCGACACAAGTGCGGTACGCTTTCTACAGTACACAGTACAGCTGCACAAGCGTTGCATGAATTTGATTAATTACTCGTACTCCGATTACTCGCTCGCTACTCTTCTACAAGCATCTATGAAAGGTCACATGATGGTTATTTCTAGCAACTTTGTTGCCAGGTGTCGTGCCAGCTGCTCCTACTATACCCGTCACACAACCACGTCCACACAGTAGATATGGATCGAGCCAGCCAGGTGCTCCCTCCAGATGTGCCCAGAACATATGCTGTCCTATCAGAACGGCAACACTCTGCCATCGCAAGCACGAACGACGCTCGAAAGAAGCCCTGGCTTAAAGCCGGCAGTCAAAACCTCACCCAGCCGAAGCTGAGGCCGGGCCTGGATTCAGGTCCAACCAAAAGCGCTCTCTAGATTTTACAGCCTTTCCTTCTGTGGCTCCGAGTATGACACCGGGCGGAAGAAGGCGGCGAGGCCAAGCAGCCGCGCATATCCTATGTGGTGGTCCGCCTACTCGTAGTGTTCAAAGCCTCCGCCGGGGACAGGGTGAGCGAGGTCGTGGGAAGTCGGGGCCTTCGTGAGCACGTTCTGATATATGTGGTCAGCATCACTACTTCACCGTATTGTTGCCTATACGCATACTCACCATCGCAAAGCTTCCGTGTGACATCGGGCAGCAGGAAAGGTGGCGGGTGCTCCCAAAGCTCTCCACAGTTTGCCACCACGAGCAGGGACGGCGGCCGAGCCGCACCGGCACAGGCCTTGCGCCGGAGGCGACGTTTTCTAGATATGGCCAAAGAGAAGAGTGCTGTATGCAGCTCCTAAATAGTGTAGTGCCTTGCTAGGCATGGCCACCATTACGGCTCTGCTAGTACTCATCCCTCACGAACATGAACATTCCAAAACTCCTCACGACCCTCAAGGTCGAACTGGAGCACCTCTCTACGGCCCTAGAGATTGCAGTGCCCATGTAAAGAGTCGCTGGTCGTTTGGCCGTACGACAGCTGTATCACCAAAATATATGCGCCTGCAACGACGGCGATTCGCCAGTAGCGCTCGGTTGAACCCACGTGCCGAAGTGCAGGCTTCGATTTCCAGAGCCGCCGCGCTCTATCTTAGCTTGTATCCTTCCTATCACATCGTATTCCCCTTCAACGAGCCGGCTAGAGCTCGGCTGCGGCTTGGTCTAGGAACCGGCGCCGGTGGACTCGAGAAGATTGAAGACGTGGTGGGCTTAATCAGGTCTTTTGTTCGGTCGGCGGAGAGAACAACAGCGGGTTTCGGAGCCCGAGGGCGTCGTGGTATGTGTCTAGGTTACAAAGTGGGCGTCGCTGTGCGTTGGACCGCGTCTCGAAATGTACACAATGGCTGGTTTCGACGCTGGAAACCGCAGTTGGCTGGATTGACGAGCGCCGTGGCCCCCGGGAGTCTTGGCACTGCTCCCAATCCCGAGTCGGATTAGCGATGTTCCGAGCGCTTCCAGAAGCTGGCGGAGCGGCCGTTCTATCACGTGAGCCGTGCAGGGCTGCTGAACACGAGTCAGCTCTGGCTGTTGCGGGCTCGCGCTACTCAATACCATGGGCAAAATTATGGACGCGATCATCTCCCAGCGGCTGAATTATCTAGTAGAAACATACGAGCTACTCCCACCAACCCACTTAGGAGGGAGGAAGAAACGATCCATAGAGCACGCACTACACGCCATAATAGAAAAGATCTATAGAGTATAGAATTAGAAGAAAATATATACGGCCAGCCTCCTATAGCTTAACGTCTCTAGTGCATTTAATAATATATTAT